GAGAGAGAGAGAGAGAGAGAGAGAGAGTGAAACGAGGTAAAAGGAAAGAAGAAGGAAGAGGAGGAGAAGTGGAGCTGCTGGCGGCGACGGGACGCGAGACGTGGCATAGAACGGCAGAGAGCAACTCGATTCGAAGATCGGTAGTAACTAGGTAGCCAAGAAGGCACGTACCCCTACTCCGACAGGTAGCGCGCGATCAGTTGGCCGGCTCTGGTTCGAAACAGGTGGGCTTGACTCGAGTGAGTCTCGGTCTACCGCTTACCGCGCACGGATCGAGTTTGTCGTCCGACCGGTCTCTCGAGTTCTCGCTTTCGGTTAGGGAAAAAAAAAAATTCTATTCGACTATCCGAAATATGCGTATATAAAGCAGTGGACGAGTGGAGCGTTAGATCGAGCAACGTGGTTCGCCAGTTTCGTCTCGGTTTACGCTCGATCCGTCGCGACCGCTCGGTCGAGTAGTGCGCGTAGCGTTCGAAATCACCGCGTTCCAACTATCGTTGGTGGACGGGAGGATACCGAGCGTGATTCGCGACGCAGCTTCTCGACGTCGCGAATGCTTCGAATCGAGAGTGTCATCGAATAAATCGAATCCCCCTTCCGGGCAACGATCTCTTGGAGATCGCGTCGAGATCTCTTGCCGCGGCACGAGCAACGATCGCCGTCCCGATTTTGCATGGGTGTACACGTAAGTGAATCGTAACAAGGTCGAGCCCGATCGAGTCCAACCGAACTCTTTTACCGATCCCCCCCAAGCACACGCGCGCACACACACACACACAAAACTCCACCCTCGGCTGCGAATCGATAACGACGCTTCTCGATCCTGACAAGCGGCAGTCGGAAGCGTGGAAAATTGCGTCGTGAAAGGCAAACGCGCAAAAGGTTATTTAAGAGCGAGCGATGCCATCGAGAGACTCCGCGATTACATTCGCCGATTCCAAGCATTCCGAACTTCGTAATGGACAAACGGACATCCCTCGATCGTTGGATCGCGAAACGAAAATCGATTCTCGCCACACCTCGTGGTTCGAAGGTTTTTCGCGCGATCGGTAATTGTTCTCACCTTTGCCTTCCATATGGGTCGTTTGCTCCACACGGGCCATCGAAAGTACGATTTCGGACGACGATACTTGGGTCGTCGGTCATTGCCGTTCCCTTCGAATTCGATCGAATCGATTGGAAAAGGATACCAAGATGCGATATCTCGGAGAACGCGCGAGTTACTCCGTATCCACCATCGTTCATCGTGCATCGTCCGATGTCCTTCACCCGGTTATGCAGCCAGCATGTCGCGTTTCCGTGGCGAACGCGACGGAACGAGGGCCGATATAGGAAAATCTCGGATGGAAGAAAAGGAATGGTTGCCGCGGACGCGGCGCGTCTCGATCGTTACGATATCGCGATCGTTGGAGCGATTCCTTACCCTCGATCCGGTATCTGTAACAGCGCGAAAGTCACAACGTTGGCTGGAAAAGGGTAACTCGGGCGTATCGGTTCGAGAATCGAAATACGTTTTCTCCGCGTACGCCGTGGTCACCGAACGAAAGAGAACGGCGCGGCACGTGGAAGCGACCGAGCTGTTTTTGCCTCCTATCTTTCATCGCATTCGTTGCTCGCGTTGCTTTATCGTGATATATCTCGAAGCGTCGACGCGATGGAAATTCGCTCTCGCGATACGAATTCGATAATTCGGATAGTCTTTCACCTTTGCAGAAACGTTTCGGGAATGCCAAAAGATCTCGATAATCGTTAGGCATCGATGAATGCGAGTTAGCTGGCGGCTTACGAAAAGGCGCGTAACACGCGCCAACGGCCGCAATCGCGCATAACCGTAACCCTCGCGCAACCGCGATTACATTCGCCGTTTTATCGAACACCGTTTATCTGAACCGTGGTAACGATCGTAGCGGCGATCGTAGCGGCGATCGTAGCGGCGATCGTAGCGGCGATCGCGTCGTTTGAATTCTTTCTTCCGCTTAGAAAGTTGCAGCGTATGAAACCTGTTGGCGCGCGGTCATTCGCAGCGTTCGATCCGCAAGCTCGTTGGTTTTTCGCGCCCATGCACGAAAGCTATCCGCGTGGTTGCGTTCCATCGGCTATCGATCGAGCGTGGTCGCGTGTCGAGGATAACGCGGAAACGTAGAGAAGAGATCGAGACGCAAAGTGGAAATCAAAGAGTGTTCCGTAGGAGCGGAACGGGACCCAGTGTACCGATGTCACCGGCGGAATGGCCAGGGATCGATCCGGTTCAGAATATTCGGAGAACATGAGCGACACGACGACTTGCAGCTGCACGGCGAGTTCCGTGGACAAGGCTAGTAGCGCATGCTATATGGTAATCGGTGGTGAGGAATAGCGGTAAGACTCGAGGAATCGGATCGGTCGCGTGGATCGCGCGCGATCGATCGGATTTGGAAGAACGAACGAGAGCTACAGCTGTGTGACTCGGCTCGGCTTGGCTCGGTTCGGCTCGACTCGGCTCGGCTCGAACTAGCACGAATCACTCTTCCGGAAGAGAGTACGAGAGGTATGCGAGACGGCAGCGTCCGATAATGGGAACGACGGTGGTGATGCTTTCAGTGTTCGTTACGCGGCTGCGGTATGTTTCAAGAGCCGTTTTTCCTTCATCCACCTGGTTCGCGACCTCGCGATGGAATCTACATAAATCCTATGAGCGCGTACATCGGCGAGCCCGTCAAGCCAAAGGACACGGAATCCTTCTATCTTCACAGCCCTCACGATCTCGTCTACACCAGAATCACGCGTCTTTTCGCCGACACGGACAAGCATCGACACTTGGAGAAGAAGGACGAGACTCTGACTGGTAAGTGGCGCGAGTCCCAGATATCTCGCGTTCTCGCTCGCCTTTGCTCGAGCTCGCTCGAGTTGCTCGCGCTCGCGCGTGTGCCGTTCGTTTCCAGTGAGCGGCGGGACTGAAGTGTACAGGTTCGAAATGATCCAACACGACCACGATGTCGTCGTCGTCGTCGTCGTCTTTGTTATCCACGTCAACGCGAAACGTTTCTCTGTTGTTCTCTCGGTTCCAGTGAAAGTGGACGTGCACTTCAACAATGGCGTTCTCGACCGACCGTCCAGCAGAAACGGTTACACGGCCAAATCGATCAATCGCGAACAATCCGAAATGGTTCGCGAGCCATCCGAACACGCGTACGAACAAATCTGCTTACGGCAGGATTCCGAAACCGGTGACGTGGTCGCAACCCAACAAAAGAAGATGCCTGACAACGCGTCCGATCGTAGGTACGGCATACGCCATGCTAGCCGCTTCGCTTATCCTCGTTCGTACCGCTCGCTAGAGACGTCGCATCGCGACGATACGCGGTCATAACGTCCGTCCATTTCGTAACGTTCCTTTTTAACGTTTTCGAAACGTATTGCTGTTTCCGTTAACGCTCGGTCAGCCGTTTCACGCCGGAGAACGACCTCGATATTTTTCTCCGGAACACATCGGTCCGCGAACTGACCGCTTATCGCGCGATCGCCACGAGGTAGCAGCGACGTGGCCACACGACGTCCAACGGTCCCGATCAACCACCGATCGATCGCGATTCACCAACGTCGAATCGGTTTCAGCCGTTCCCGAAAGATCGATCGTAGATATAGCAGATCGAGTAGCGCCAGCGAGTCGTCGAACATCAGCAGCGAGATTCCTTGCTTCTCGTCGAGCGCGTCGACACCGTCGCTGTCGCGGAACAGCAGCAACGAACGAATCGGAAAAAATGGAAAACTCTCCGTCGAATCGTCGCACGGTACGTCGAATCGGCGCGTGTCGATGCCGCGTCTCGCTAAATATCTATCGCTGACTGCGTACCTACGCTTTTCAGAGAAAAGGAACTCGACCAGTTCGTCGCAAGTAGAAAGCGAAAAGGAGATCAAACCGGCCACCGGCGGAGCCAGGTAAGTAGGCCGAGCGATAAAGCCACCTAACCTAACCTAACCAGACGAAAAATCGAACAAAAGCCAACCGATTATCGCCATTTATCGCCATTTATCGCCATTTATCGCCATTTATCGCCATTTATCGCCATTTATCGCCATTTATCGCCATTTATCGCTACGAGACGCATCCGTAGCAAAACGAACCTATCGAATCTCGCGAAATCTTCCCCGATAATTAGAATCGGTCGACTTAACGACGGCGCGCCGCGAACCATACGAAAAATTTAACTTACGGTATTCGCCTATCGTCCCCTTCCTTCCTTCCCCCCCATCGCGTATCGTTCTCAGCTTTGCCAAGCCACCGCCTCCACCACCACCGCCTCCACTACCGGACAAGGAGGATATCGTGGTGCTCGTGGTGAACGCCAAGCAAATCGCGGAACCCGTAACCAAGGATGAGAAGAGAGACATCTCCGGAGAGACGAACCGAAATGGCAGAATGGAAAACGGACCCGTTTCGTCTTCGGGTAAGCGTATTATCCATTTCGATAGCTATCATACCCGAAATCGCGTCCGCCGGAATAACCTCCGTCTCTTCGACCCTCCATTTCTTCCGTACGATCTTTCCATATCGCTTGCAAGGGGTGTAGATGGGGGGAGAGAGACGACGATGAGGAAGAGGAAGAGAAAGAGGAAGAGGAAGAACGGAAGTGACAGGAGTAGGGAGAAAAATCGAGGGGAAAGGAGGCGGAGTAAAAATAAAAAAAGGGAGGCAGATTTAATCGAGTCGAACGATCGACCGATTTAAAATACATATTTTAAACGAGTATGCGTCGCTGAACGAACCTTAATGATAATGATAATAATAATTAAAGCCTCGGTGAATCGCAAAGACGGCCACTTACTAGACCATGGCGCTCATCGGGCATATAATACACTTACCTAGATTTCACTTGTCCGTCGCGTACTACGATTCGCGTTCCCCCTACCTCGTTTCTGTTTCGGAACAGCGATCAACAAGTCCGACGTATCCTGCGGCGAGCATCAGCAGCCGGAAGTACCTCCTGCCAGTCCAACGGCGGACACCGAGGAAATTAAGACGAGTCAAACGTCTCATCTGGTCAATAAACATATGGTGCTGCCGTTCATACCGCCCAAGTTCGCGAACGCGGACTCCAACACTCTGCTCAAGCCGTCCGAGTATCTGAAGAGTATCTGCAAGCTTTCGTCCAAGAGCATCCTGTTGAAAGCAAGGTCAGTAGAATCGGTAGGATCGGGGATCGGCATCGAGATCGTTCGAGGCTGGTTTCGTCGGGATCGTTCCGCTTAAACTTTTTGATCGAACGTCTCGCGTTCGTCGATCGACCGTCCAATCGACCGTCCGATCGACCGTAACGTCCGATCGAACGGTCGATCGATCCGACTATCGAATTAAACGCGTTCGCAGGTCGGTGGACAACTTGGATATACAGAGCAGGAGTAGCGATCGAAGAGAAGGGTGCGTCAGACCGGAAGGGGCAGAGGATCAAGAGGAGGAGGAACTGGCGGTGGCCGTCGCCGAGGGGCAGCGGAGAGGACGAGAAGGCGAGGTGGAAGAGGAAGAGGAAGAGGAGGAGAACGAGGTGGCGGAGGTGGGAAAGGAATCGGCCGCGAGGCCTCCGCCACCACCGTTGTCTCCGCTTCAAAAGTTGCGACGAGCCGACGAGGACTCCGGTACGGTCGCGACCATCGATCCCGAATCCCCGAAAACCCCACAGCCACTCGCTACCATCAGCATTCAGGATCTGACTAGTATCCAACTGCGAAGAACCACCGCGAAAATGAACGCGACGAAAACCTTCTCCGCCCCTCCACCGCGCAGCGTGTCTATGACTAACGGTTGGTATCCAGCGAAATCGAAATTTCCTAGCGGATAATTATTCCATGGTCGATCGTCATCAGTTTCAGAGTCGTTCTTCGTTCAAAAAACCGATTTGATCGCGGAATTGAAGAGGACCAAGGACATCCCCGGGATCAAGAAACTAAAGGTGGAGATGGCCCAAGTGGAAAAGACGCAGGAGCAAAATCTCATGTCGGAGATTAACAAGGCGTTCAACGTTTCGAATTTCGTAGATCAGGTAAGCTGTAAGTTTCGTAGATCTGAACCTTCTCCCTATACTATACTACATTTTTCTCTTTATCGATTTATCCTTTAATTCGCCACAAATTCCTCTATCGATTTGTCATTGATTTATCCGATATCTCACCGATTCTCGAAAGATTCCAGAGAAAGACAGTTCCGGAAACGTGATACCGATATGGAAACGACAAATGTTAGCTCGAAAGGCTGCCGAACGAGCAAAGAAGGAACTAGAGGAACAAATCGCCAAGGAGAACGAAGAGAGACGACAGAAGGCGATTCCTGCATGGAAGAGGCAGCTGCTCGCGAAAAAGGACAACGAGGAAAAAAGGTTTGCCGTTTGCTTCTTCCCCATTATTCCAATCTCTATAGCAGTAGTAACAATAGTAAAGTCGAACTCGTTCATTTCCGTTTTGATAGACTGAACCAAGCGCAGGCGGTACCAGTGGTCAAGGTGGACGCGACGCTGTCACCGAGGCGAGACGTTTCACCTTCGCGCACCCATCGACACGAAGAGAAATTAGAAACGGAGGAGAAAAAGGGCGAAGCGATCGCTACGAATCACGGATCGTACGGGACACTCGGGACACTCGGGACACACGAATTGCACGGAACGCAAGCAAACCACATGAACGACGACGCTCAGATTATCCCATGGCGGGCACAGCTCAGGAAAACCAACAGCAAACTCAACATCTTGGATTAATCGATCGAGTTTCTTCCGTTCATCGATTCACACCACCGATGGTCCAACGCTGATCCCATATTTGTACATAGAATCGAGTAAAATTTATATCGAGGAATCCCCTGAAACGTCGTTCCAATAACTTCGCTTACTCTTTCGCGTCCTTTAGAAATTTCCTTTCGTATACATCGTATCGAGATTGAATCGATCTGACCCGTGCTTCCTTTTCGGATAGGACGATGGTTCATTTTCGGTAATCGAAAATCAATGCCATTCCAAGTCGAAAGGAACTTGGACGGTGATGATACTCGCGCAAGGAAAGCAACAGGCAAATATAGTCGAGTAGACGAGTAGACGCATAGACGCATAGATTAATAGTCGACTACTCGTTACGTACTAATTTTCCAATTGCTTTGCTTATTCTGCCGAGTTTCAAACCAGCGACACGTGACTCGCAATGGAGATAGCGGGGACGACATTGCGTTGTCGTAGGTGTGGATATCGATGTATATTCGCGACAACAGTGACCAAACGTTGAGCAGTACGATCGTAGTAGCGGAAGCAACTCGTATGGTAGCAGTAGCAGCAGCGCGACTGCTATGTCTACGGTTGCGAATAAATACCAACACGAGTATTGATAGAAGCTAACGAATAGATCCGTTGGAGCAATTTCCGTTTTCGTAACGTCATCGCTGGCACGCTGGGGGACCACCACGAGTAGTTCGGCACAGCTCGGCAGAGTTTTGCTGGCAATTGCCAGCATCGATACTCCTACGTCGTGTTCTCGCTTCGAGTATTTATCCGAACGCCGTTAGTTTTGATTCTCCTTCTCCTGTCACTCCGTTTCCCGCCCAAATCGTTTCATCCGCGTCACGCTCCTTCCCTCCGATCGATCGTATCGATATTCCTCGGAATGTTGCCGAACGAGAGCGGCTGCTTTTGACACGTCGCGAAAATTACCGATCCATCTATCCCAACCCATTCCTAACTACAACCTAGCCTTTACTCACACATGTCCAGCGAATGGGCAGCACCGTAAATTCTTGTGCCAATCAGCGGCCAGCCACTTCTAACGCGTCAGGGATGGCCTCGAATCGGAACGTACTGGGTAAGCGATCCTTACGTTTATTAAAAACGGATGCTCCATGATTCGCGCGACGATCTATAGAGCGATCGAGATGTTTAAGTGCATGCATGATTAATGCGTCGAATCGAATCTCCAACTTGCCAAGTAAAATCGTGGCGAATCACGGTTACATGAACGAGAATTATAAAGGCAGGTCCGGCCGAGTAACATGCCAGCCAAGTATAAATAGCAGCCGGAAGCAACGACGAAGTTCTGGGTGAAGGTCGCTGACGATTTTCAAACGCATTGTCGTGCCGCTTCGAACGAACTGGTATGCAAATCGCGAGTATGAAACCACGCGAATTACTTCTCCATTCGCATGATTAATTCGTTTCCACGTTCTCCACACTTCAATCGGATCAAGAGCATACTCAAGTATCGCGAGGTAATTCCCGTTAGTTAATCTTAATCTAACGGGCCTAAACGTTGAACCACGCAACTAGTTGAAAACGGTCTACCCGAGATTCACAAATTCCAATCCGAGGGTGTCCGACACGCTGCCTTCTCTCGCACACGCACTCCAATCGCCGTTCACAGCTCTTGCTTCTCGTACTTTCAGGCTGGCTGACATGTAGACAAGTGTTAAACATAATGGTCATCATTGGCTTCATGCTAAACTATATGCTACGCGTGAACATAACGATCGCCATCGTGTCGATGGTGATTCCAAGCAACGACACTTTGCACTCGAGTGACCATGATAAATCGAGCGATTGCTTCGACAGTACGATTACGATAAACGTTACCTCGTTCGATAATGGTTCAACGACGCTCACCTCCGATTCAGCAACCTCTTCTATCCCCTATCCGCCTCGACACGTACGTTAGTAAAATTTATCTTTCCAGAGCTCGATCGCTTTTTCCAATCGTTGGAAAGGATCAAACGTTTCCGCTCTGCTTCCCAGGAGGAAATGAATCAGTCCAGGTATTCGTGGAACGAGTACCAAGTCAATCTCGTATTGGGAAGCTTCTTTTGGGGCTACATATGCACCGAATTGCCAGGCGGACGATTAGCCGAGATAATCGGACCTAAAAGAGTCTTTGGATATAGCATGCTAGTATCTAGCATCGTTACATTGTTAACGCCATTGGCCGCGGACTATAGCTATATCACGGTTGTCGCCTTACGAGCGATACTTGGATTTATGCTGGTGGGTATTCGTTAAAATTTAAACAAATTTTACCAATTCGAGTTCTCTTATTCTTCGCATCCGTCGAGAGGTACTTTCTTACCGATTTACGTTCGTTCGGCGCATACACGCAGGGAGCTACTTGGCCTGCCATGCAGCCGATGACTGTCCGGTGGATACCACCGACGGAACGCAGCAAATTTGTCTCCAATATGATGGGTAAATAAGTTCGAATACACGCAATCTACGAGTGTAACAGGTGAAAAAGGAAGAAACCTTTTAACGTTCCGTTGTGTTCCATTTCTTCTCGTTCCGTTCTATTTCTTCTCGTTCCGTTCCGTTCCGTTCCGTTCCGTTCCGTTCCGTTCCGTTCCGTTCCGTTCCGTTCTGTTCCGTCCCGTTTCGTTCCGTTTCGTTCCGTTCCAGCCTCGTCGCTCGGAGCTGCGATAACATTGCCGCTTTCCGGATTTCTCATCGCTTACATCGGTTGGGAATCAGTGTTTTATGTAACCGGAACGATTGGACTTGTATGGAGTTCAGCTTGGTTTTTCTTCATATTCGACTCTCCTGCACAACATCCGAGAATCACTATCGAAGAACGCCGATATATTGAGGATTCGATTGGCACTACCTCTACGACAAAGGTGCTATCGAAACGTTACAATCGCATTACGATTGATATAACAATTGTATGTAATTCGATACAAGAATTATTCGTTTGCTTTCTCGTTCGCAGCGGCTACCCGTACCATGGAAAAACATTTTCCTTTCGCCTTGCGTTTGGGCTATCGTATTTGCTCATGGATGCAATGTATTCGGTTATTTTACCGCTGTCAATCAATTGCCAACCTACATGAAGTACATCTTAAACTTCAATATCAAAGAAGTCTGCATTCACTCTTTGCTTCAAAACGACAGTTCTTTTCGATATCGCTCTGTATTAACTCAATGGTGTTTCTTGCTTCCTCGTAGAATGGAATGCTATCTTCTTTACCATATGTCGGTAAATACGTCTTTGCCGTAACAACATCTACCGTGGCTGATTATTTATTCAAAACGAAGAAACTGTCGATAACGACTATTCGAAAACTGTTTACTGCTCTTGGTAAGTAACAAACAAAGGATAATCAATTTAATGATATTCGTTTCATCTTGTTCTTTTGCGTTTCATTTTTTTTTTTTCTTAATTTCTCTGTTTCTCTCTCTCTCTCTCTCTCTCTCTCTCTTTCCTCTCTTCTTTCTCTCTTCCCCTCTAACCATCTTACTCTCTATGCATAGCAATGTTAAGTCCGGGGCTGTTAATGGTCGTACAAGCAAATTATGGATGCGATCGCGCAACGTCAGTGGTGATTTTCACGATTGCTTTGACAATCAACGGTGCAGTAACGGCTGGCTACCTAGGAAACTGTTTGGACATCGCACCCAATTTTTCAGGCACTATCTTTGGTATAATGAACACGCTCGGTTCTCTAGGGGGATTCGTAAGCAACTACATGGTCGGCATGATAACGTACAAACATCAAACCTATGCTCGATGGAGAATCATGTTTTGGATATTAGCGACGATTTATTGCTTTGGCGCGCTTATTTTCTTAATCTTTGGTAACGGTCAATTACAAAAATGGAACAATCCTAAACAAAGTCCAGAAGAAAATAAAGCAAATGTAAGCAATGAAACCGATCCGGAAGAACTCGTACAGCTGAAAGACAAAGCAGTTCCTTAACAAAGCGATCGTTTTAGATTCATCGATCGAAAAATCAAGCCGTTAAATAACCGAAAAAAAAGCCAAAAATTACACTACGATTTCGACGAAAATGTTAGTTCGTTGTAAGATATGGTCTGTTTGTGCGGATAAAACAGTAAGAAAATGTATCACCGTTTATATCTTTTAATACTTATCACTCGATACCTATCAAATTCGTTGTTTCGAGTCCTGTAAAATACATGTCCACGCCTGATATTTCGAAAGCGTGATCGTTCTATTTTATATTGGATGCTATTACGAAATTTCGGTTATCTTCAGTAGGTATGACAGATAGATTATCAAGAATCGGTACATAGATCAATCTCAAATTTTTTACCATCTTCGAGCGTTATACATATTCGAAACAATCGCGTAATTCTCTACCGTTCGTTTAACCAGTCCCTCGACACGGTTCGGTTCAACCTTTCCGTTGATCGTTCGTTTCTCTATTCGTTCTCCCGAATTCGATTGCGCATTCGATACAGCAAAGCGTTGGAACGAAAACGAATTGCGATTGCAGAAACCGCAAATTATATATAGAGAAAGATTACTATATAGAACGATACTATAGAGAATGAGAACAAAATGGCACGGGGCGACATAGAGTAACGTGGGAATAATTGAAGAACGTTCGGTCGGTCGGCGGCGGGGTGTCGAAGGGCAAAGGAGGCACAGTTGTGTCGGGGCAACACGAAACAGCAGCGTGGCGCGGCTCTGTGACAAGGCGACAAGACGGCGCATCCGCGTCGCGATGTCCGGCGTAGAGGCGCCGCGCGTTGCGGTGATGCTCGCCGTGACGCGTGGCGCTGCGGCGCTCTGCCGATATACCAGGAACACAGTCAATCGAAGAGTTACTCTCGCCTTCTCTTTCATTCTTCCTTGCTTACTTAACCTGTTGATCGTGTATATACCTTTTCGCAATACGACCTCGTATACGCATCTCGAGAGTTACTATAGATTTATATTTAAGCAATCCTTTCCCCTTCGCGCGTTTGCAATTACAGGAAAGCTCTTTAAAAATCTCGATCGACATTTTTTCGAAACGATTTCGCACGCGTGTTCGACGAATAGAAATACATATCGTCGAAATCTTTCCGAGTGTCGTGAACCAATGCGAGCGATTGGCCGCTGTTGGAACGTTGGAATTTCTAAATATGCCAATTATCAACGAAACGAAGGAATATTCGAAACACCAAACGGATAGATATGACGCAATATTACATAGGTGTATATATATAAGATAGTACGTAAGGCAATCTGTGGCCGAGACCAATGATCATGAATGGTAAAAAGGAAACACAAGACAGAGTCTGTACAACAACGATCAGCCAGTTAAGGACATAGAATGCGAAGCATCCGCGGACTGCAGTACCGAATTCAATCGCTATGTCAGAAAGCACAAGGAATCAGAAGAGCAGCGAAGGTAGAGCCGCGGTAAAGTTTGCCGCGCGGGACCGCCCGCCCGACAAATCGTTTACCAGGAAAACACGCGAATCGATTGGTCGTCGATCAGGACACCGCCTTCCTTCGTCGCATACTTTCCTGTTCCGTTGTGATTAACTAAGGTTTAATCAGCTTTATAAGCTAAACTTCCTTTGTCAACATGCACGCATATGATAATCCGCGGTTATCTTGCCGCTCTGCTCGATAATCGAAAACATTTGGACCTATCTCCGTAGCAACACATTGCAAACGAAAACGCAGTAGCCGTCGCGTTTCAAATTCCTTCGTTCACCATCGAACTGAAGCGTCGTGAAGCGTCGTGAAGCGTCGTGGAGAGTCTTGCAGCGTC